CGAACGCGCTGTCACTGTTATAGAAGGGCCATAGTTAAAGTCTGTCAATGTGCTGTCATGTTGTATCCAAAACGAACATTTTCCATGATTTGACGGTATTTTTGGATACGTCACGTTGGTCGGTCTATAACTTGTTTGCCTATAGTCACTGTCACTAAAAAAGTGATGAAACCGATTGATTGATTTGATTTAAAATCGAAGAAGTCCATTTTATTGGATTCATTCCATATAGGGGAAATGACGGCTTCGGCATGACAGACTATTTTCGGCAACCCAAATTGAAACACTATTATCACTAAATTTTTTTTCGAAAACACTTCGCTGAATACATACAAACGATTCTTTATGCTTTCAGCTTCAATTTGACTATATTTTTACCACTGAGAAAAGCAATCTAGCAAGGTTTTCTTGAAATGCAACACACGCACTACAAATTGTAGCTGATTTCGAGTTGCCGATAATAGAACAGCAGATTTACATGCAGTTCAAATGGAACGGTTGCTGAAGAAAAACTGCTTGCCGACAATACTCGCTCTCACTAGAGAAGATTGGAGCTTTGTAAAAGCGTTTCAAAACAGTTTTTGACAATTCTTTCGACAGAAATTGTTAGAGCAGCTGGCAGCAAAAGATTGTAAACAAACCAATACTGCATATATGTGCGTTCCTTAGAGAAAAAGGCTATAGAAAGAACGTCGCTGCTTAGGTTGCCGAGAAAACGTAAATTCCCCTTTGTAATCGTGCTTAAATCTCTAAAAACAAATAATATCGGTTTTTATCGGTCGCATCTCTTATATCGGGTCACATCTCTATAAGTATCATGACAGGTAACGATGACAACCGTTTGTTTATAAGAAAGGACCGTCGTGAAATCTCAACCAACCATTCAAAAAGGCGGATCAGCTTTTGTAATCAAATCTTGTAATGCTCTTTTCTTGCAAATCGGAGCTCACCTTGCCAAATCAACAACAACCTTCTCTCCTATCCGATGGTGGAATTGGTTTGCGTAGGCGTGCTTCAGTTTGCAAGATAAGTTTGCTGATCGACCCTTTAGTATTGTTGGTGTATAAATCTGTTCAAAAATCATTTATGGTGATTCCTTGAAGAGTCCACAAATTGCCTGATGATGGCTAAGATACCCTATCACTTCAAGTGTTCTAGAGCACAAATTTCGGACACAGTTGTGACATCGCTCATGAAATTGGAACTCCCTGGTTGGTGCATCAAATGTAAAGTTCCAGTGAAATTGTGAGGTTATAATATAGCGCATTACACACATTATAGGAAGTGTGGAAACGCATATGTCACGAATGGGATTTCTCGGATATCTCCAAGGTCATAACTGATTTCCATCACTACCTCAAAAGACTTCCCCAATCTCAGGCACCTATCGTTTGGTCTTGGGTTTGGTCACGCTTGGCCATCAATTCTTCCAGAGTTTGAACATGCAACAATCACAAAAGCAGGTGCTCAATAAAGTGACAGTTCACATCACAAAACACACTAAAAACAACATCAGCATAATGCTCGATCATTCTACCACATCCAAGATTATCGATATCAATAGTGTATGAAATCGGATAATATCGGCTGGTGCTTGTTATTATTCATTACGACTCGAATTTATCTTAAAACATCGAAATTTTGAAGCAAATTTGATAGAAATCCGTTATATGAAATGTAAAGCGGTTTACCTTTGTTCCCCTCGAATGAAACGGACAGTGTGTTTCCATCCTATTCCATCTTTATATTCGAGAACACCCACTCCGGATGCAGTTTTAGTGCTGAACGACGCAGCCATTTTCGTCGTTTTGTACCTGAATAAGTGTCGTAAAAATGTGGAAAAAATCGAGAAAAATCAAAAGAAACTCGAGAGGAAACCCCATAACTTTTTCAAAGGACCAGGTAAGCTATGAGAAAAATCAATATAAATATTTGCACTAATCATTATGTTAAGTTCCAATTGATCGCACGATGCATTCCGATGCATGTCAGAATCTGTCCACTTCCCGGGGTCACCCAGTATATCTGAAAGAGGCCATTGTGATCATTGGGTCTGAATATGTCCACCATTGATCTTATAGTAAAATTATGTGTGATTTGAAGTGTCGCATGATGTTTTTGATATATCAATCTTTTGCGAATTCCCCAGTGGAATCTGGAAGTCACCTTTTTGTTCATATCTTCGGAACTATAATTCCGATCGGCAAAAAATCAATAGCAATCTATGGGGATCTGAAACACATCTTCTGGAACTTGTTTCACTCAAATTGGTCCAGCCATTTCTGCGAAAATTGAGTGAGTTACACTCATACGAACTTATATAGATACATTCATACATACAAAAGGCTCTGCTGGAGGCCAAGGAGAGCATAAGACTGCGACGCCGAAGGAACCCACAAATCCACGTCCTGAAAAGAGAGATTGGGACACACCAGGAGATGAGGAGGACCCCAAAACACGCAGGGATGACGAGGAAGGCATCAAGGAGATAGGAGAAAATGGTGGGTGGCATAAAGTCGAGAACCAGAAGGAGAGGAAGAAAAAACAGAAGGAAGATGAAGTTAGGAAGAAGAAAGAGGAAGCGAGGAAGAAGGAAGAGAAGAAGAAGAAGACAGGAGAAGCCTAGGCCTCGGAGGGAGAGAAGCAAGGGTGACGCTCTGGTTGTTGAGGCGAAGGACAAAACGTCCTACGCAGCACTCCTCCGGAAAGTGAGAGAGGATCCGGAGTTGAAACAACTAGGCGAGAACGTGGTGAAAACCAGGCGAACCCAGAAAGCCGAGATGCTATTTGAGCTGAAAAGGGATCCTACGGTTAAGAGCGCAGCTTTTAAGGAGCTCGTCGAAAAATATCTTGGCGGGACGGCGAACGTAAGAGCCTTATCCCAGGAGTCAGTGGTTGAGTGCAGGGTTCTGGACGAGATCACAACGGAAGACGAGTTGAAAAGTGCACTGAAGGTGCAATGCAACCTGGGAGACGTACCAATGGCAATCAAGGTTGGGTGGTCAGTGTGTCCGTTGAAAGCTATTCCTCGAGTGTCTAATAAAATGGAGCGATGCTACAAATGCATGGGCTTCGGTCATCAGGCGAGAAACTGCAAAGGCCCTGACAGATCTGATCCGTGTAGGAAATGCGGACAGAAGGGACACGTTGCAAAAGACTGTACAAAGCAACCGAGGTGCATGCTCTGCAAAAAGGAGGACGGAAACGGCCATGTGACGGGAAGTTTCAGGTGCCCAGAGTTCAAGAAGGCGATGGTGAGCCAGCAACACAGCACAGCAACTGTTGTGGCAGTCGACAACGGAAACAAAGTGCGACATTGCTATCATTGCAGAGCCATATCGAGTCTCTTTCGATAATGGTAACTGGGTGGCGGACAGAGCAGAAATGGCGGCCATGCAAGTCACGGGCAGGTATCCCATTCAACAAGTGGTGGCGGGCTCATACGAAGGTTTCGTGATCGCCAAAAGCAATGGAATCTATGTATGTAGTTGCTACGCACCCCCAAGATGGACAATTGAGCAGTTCCACCAGATGCTAGATGAGCTCATCGGAGAGCTCATTTGACGGAAAGCAGTCGTCATCGCAGGAGATTTCAATGCTTGGGCAGTGGACTGGCCAAGTCTGGCCACCTTAGGAACCAACAGCACCTTCCGCAAAGATGGTAGGGAATCCATTATCGACGTCCCTTTCTGCAGTACGTCGCTAGTGGCAAATATGAACTGGAGAGTGTGCGAAGAGTGCACCCATAGTGACCATCAGGCGATCCGGTACAGTATCGGCGAACCGACACCGGTGGAAATGCGGAGGACGAAAGTAAGCGAGCGGAAGTGAAAGACGAAGGCATTCAATAAGGATCTCTTAATCGAAGCTCTAATGGTAGACAGCAACATCCCGGGTCTAAGCGCGAACGAGTTGACCGAATCATTAGCAAGGGCATGTGACACAACTATGCCGAGAAAACTGGAGCTAACGAATAGGCGGAGCGTACTGGTGGAACGAGGAAATCAGCACCCTCTGTGCTAGTTGTCTTCTAGCCAGAAGGCGCGTTCAGAGAGCAAGAACGGAAGCAGACAGAAAAAAGCGCAGGGTGGTGTTCCGAGAGGCCAGGGCTGCACTGAAACGAAAGATAAAGCTGAGCAAGTCAAATAGCTTCAAGCAGCTGTGCCGCGATGCCGATGCCAACCCCTGGGAGATCAGAGGTCCAACGATGCCGGTTGAAATGTGTCCCTTCAAGCTGAAAGTCATCGTGGAGCGACTTTTCCCACATCATGACCCAACGGCCACCTACACCATATGGCGAGGAAGATAAAGACAACATTGAACAAGTTTCCAACGAGGAACTCATGGCAGCAGCGAAAGGGTTGAAGGCGAATAAAGGCGGATGAAATTCCCAACGTGGCGTTAAAGGCGGCGATCCAGACGTTCCCGGACATGTACAGGATGGTGCTGCAGAAATGTCTGGACGAGGGTCAGTTCCCTGATAGGTGGAAGGTACAAAAGCTTGTGCTGTTGCCGAAGCCCGGAAAACCGCCGGAGGATCCTGCATCGTAAAGGCCAATATGCTTGTTGGATACTGTCGGCAAGCTCTTGGAGAGGATCATCCTGAAGAGGCTGACGAAATGCACAGAGAGTGAACACGGATTGTCGGAAAGGCAGTTCGGATTCCGTAAAGGGAGATCGACGGTGGATGCAATTCGGACAGTTATTGAAAGGCAGTATGCGTTATCGCCGGTCCATATTCGCCTCTTGAAGTCCGCAGAATACTTGAGTGAGGTATTAATAATTCATCCAAGTCTGCATATTATATATTTTTGCATGAAGTAATGCCAAAATGGGTATAATCTTTTTGGTCTTATTTTTTGGATCTCGGCTACTCGACCAGTCATTGAAATATGTTTTATGAATTCCTGTGATATTATTTGGACAAATTCAGATAAAAAATCAATATAACAATATTAACCGTTTAATTCGAAACTTATGCTAACGGATTGTACCACTAATTACCAACTCCAACCACTAGTCTTTTTCTTAATGTAGATGGTCACTGGCACCGGTTTATCGACGTACACCTTCTTGGTAATGTACACTGGAACGCGCTTTTCCACATGAACTGCGTACGGTTTTGGCACTTCGATGTATTCCTTTTGCACCACTGGGACCTTAACTTCTATTGGATAAGGCACCGGTCGGTCCACTTTAAATGGTACCTGTTTTTCGACTATAAACGGCACATGTTTCTCCACTATAACCCTTTTCTCGACCTCAACGGGGTATGGTACCCTTACTTGAGTTGGAGCGTGCTTCTCAACCTCAACTGGGTATGGAACGCGCTTCTCAACCTCAACTGGGTATGGAACGCGCTTTTCAAACACCACTGGGTATGGAACCCTGACATGAGTTGGGAAATGCTTCTCGCTCTCAACTGGCGCCTTTACTGGAGCTGGCACGTGATGCTTCTGGTACCCAAATTGCATCTTCACTGGAGCTGGCTTATCATGCATCTCATGAACTGGCTCCTTCACTGGTGCTGAAAAATGATGCATCTCGGCCTGAACTAACTTCTTTCGTGACGTTGGATAGCTATGTTTGTCCCCATCATATGATGGCATCTTCACTGGAGCTGACTCATAATCTTCGATTTCAATTGAATATATTTCCGGACTATTCTTGTCTGCTGGCTTGTAATCACTATCCTGATGCTTTCCAATATCATGGGAATCCTGATCGAAACTTTCAACCTGAAGACCTCTTTTGCCTTTCTTGGCGGCCTTTTCCACAAGAGCTGTTGTACCTCGATAGTACTTCGAGCTCCCAGCTTGGTATAGCCTCTTCGCTTTAACCGGCTTGAGCCTCTCGAACTCAATTGGAAATAGAACGGGTCCATTCTTTTTGCCAGACCGATGATCACTTTCCTGATGATTTTCGTTATCTTCGGAATCCTGATCGAATTCTTGAATTTGAAGGCCTCGTTTGCCTTTCCTGTGGGAACGTTTCGCAGCCGCGAAAGAAGTAACGGCTAGAATTATGCAAAACACCACAAATGCCTGGAAATAAAAAAAAAAAACAATACAAGGAAAATTATAGCAATTACGTCACTGAATTCTAGTCTCTCAAAAAATGTTACCTTCATGTTTGATGCTGCCAGCTGATCGAGCTAAGCTTCAAAGAATGGACCACAAGCGAATGATGGCTTACCACCTTCATCATAATGGTTTTATAATGCTTTGAATGCGGGTTTCTTGCCAGAATCGGCTGTACCTACCGAATGCACATGTGAGCCAACACCGAACAAATTGACCAGTTTCGTGAGTTCTGTCCACAAGATGCTGCCGGCTCGGTTCATTACACTTTTGTTTTTAATTTGGTTGTTGAAAAATTGTCGACGACCGATTGGTTGTCACATACCGACCGGTTAGGTACACTCGTAAATTACGTTCCACAGTATTAATCAATTCTATACGTACCAGATCTTAAGGCATATTTGTTTTGCACTATAGAGAGTGACGTAGTTTGTGAACTCCCCACAAAACGGTTCATAGGGAGGAATGCAGTCTCGTGCACAGAATATGAGAAGCAACCACGTGAAGCCTGTTAGTGCTTTAAATTTTGGCAACGAATGGCAGGCACAATTATAATTGTTGAATAATCGATTGGTGCAGTTGCAAATTTTCCATCGAACGGTTGCCTCTTGGGTTTTCATTTCGATCATATGCAGGCTTGGAATTGTGTAAAAAATGCTCGTCTTGGGAGGGTTTTCCTGAATAAAACAACGAATGTAAATATTTATTGCATTGCACTTGACTCGCAAAAGATTTGTATCAATGTATACTGTTTTATGAAAGGTATCCTAACAAACTGTTATAAAATCAACTATCATAACATATTATTGATAGTTCGGATAACAAAAAGTCTAAGTGGATGGTCCATATCTGAGTGGAGTGGACTAGATTACTTTCAATTTTCAAGTCATATATCTTTAAAAATAGAAACTTTCTTACCTTTGTTTACCCCTCTCGCAGGTTGACGCCATTTTTTTTCAGAGAAAAAATTAAAACTTGTTTGTGACTTGCGCATTGTTTATTTTCATTAGCAACCCGGAAAAAAATTACCATCCAATAAAAAACATTTAAATTAGAATCTATTGATAACAATCGATCTTATTGTACGTATATCATACAACTAAATCATACAATAGATCTACAATACGTCCCTTATAGAGATTAGTAACATTTCACGCACGCACACTAGCGGGTGCATCGCCGTGCAAAGTTGTTTATTATTTTCCTCTGGCTAACCAAAAAAATGTATGAAATTAGATCGGTCAAAATGAATTTGACAGCGATTTGTTATGTATTTTCCTCGGATTTTCACTAACACGCTCTCACATATCGCTCCAATACAGCTGAACGTGAAAATTTCTATAGTAATATTATTCAACAATAGAAAAACAATACAATTAATGGCAAATGGCTCAAGTATGATCGGAAAAATAAATGAGTTTTCCTATGGTTAAGGTACATGGCAACACCTTGTTCTATTGTAGATTTCCCTTTTTACCATAGATTATAGTGTTGAAACAATAAATTCTAATGTTATTTTATCATTGTGGACAGTATGAATTTTTGCAAAACAATCAATTCTATTGTATGGTTACAATACATTTCATTGTAATTTCATGGGAAGTCTTAAAATGATTATTCAGTACGAGACTGTTCGAAATGAAGTTAAGACAGTCAAAAAAGCTTGTATCCCTTCCCGTCAGATTCGTTTATTTGGATGTATTAGCTTTCATCGTTGAGGATACTTACAACCAATAATATATATTGCAACATTTAAATTGTTACCCCTTGAAAAACACTTGTATTATTGCTTCTAAATTAAACTTAAGGCCGTTCGCAATGCTGAGTTTCAAAATTATTTCAAACTACTCGGCAGTTTTAAAATTCAAAACTGTTAAAAATGAAATTGCAACACGATCAGCGCAACGCGCAATTTAAAACGGTGTTTGGTATTCATCTCTACATACGTGTGCGTGTGCAAATTTAGGTTGCTTCGGCGAGTCGTAATCCAGTATCAGGTAACGAGTTCCAACTACGTGAAGAGGCCCCGGACAATTCTTCTGTCGAAACATGTAAAGAAAGTATGATTATTATGGAGACCACGGATCACCTGGCGGTCTTTGAAACAATTTCCAAGCAACCTGGTATCGTGGGTGAATATCTGAGATACGTGATCAGTCCTGTAAGTGGTCACCGTAGTCGGTCAACACATTTTCTGAGATACCGACTGCCTTTGCTTCCGACACTTGCAAAACAAGCAATCAAATTACAGTACCAAACTAAAATGTCATGTGACAGGATCTGCCATACGAAACTGTCGCTGAAGACCGTCAAGAATGTATGTATGTATGACTGCTGTCGTTGTACTTGTGTGAATTCTGAAAATAACAAGCCACGATGTCCTAGTAATAACATGTCTGATCAGAAATGGCTTAATTTATACCAAATTAAAGAATTAGATGATTTCATTCTTTCGTTAGTACATGTCATATGATAGTTATTTGATAATTTTCTATTTGCTCGAATGTGTGTTGTGTAAGAGAGACGACGATAGAGCATGAGAGTACGATTACAAACCGACTGTCGCGCACGACAACGAAGCGAGTGTTGTAAAAAATGTTAACCGTTTCAACCCCTGGACGTGATTTAAATTGTTGGGTAGTTGAAGATCTTCAGAATTATACTAAATGAACCTGAAGACATGAGAACACTTTGAGAAGTTTTTGGAGACCTCTGATCACCTGAAAATCTTTGGAATATTTTCTGAGTCACCTGGTATCATGAGAGAATACCTGGGAGACGTGATTCGCATTGTTGGATAGTTTGAGATCTTCATCAGAATAGTACATGATCAACCTAAAGTCTTGAACAAGTATCCAGAGGATTTTATAGACATCTTAAAACACATGGAATAATTTCTGAGCTGCCTGGTATCATATGAGACAATATCTGAGAGATGTTATTAAGATTTTGGATATTTTCAGAATGATACCTGATCAACCTGAAGTCTTGAAAAAGTGTCTAAAGGACTTCATGGAGATCTTAGAACACCTGAAGATCATTGGAATAATTTCTGAGAGAATATCTTATTAATGTCAAATACGCAAGCGGTTTCATGAAATTCTGTGAAGATCCATGGATTTCCATGAAGTTCTATAATATAGGGGAAATGGATGTAATGTCGGCCTATATACCCCTAATTTGGGCCCATACATAAATTCAGTAATCGACTGAATTTTCAATAGCGACCAAAAATATCCACCAGTACCGTCCCTATGACACGTTCATCTAGATAAAATTGATAAATAGCAGATTTTTAGCGATGGGCCCAATCTTAGAGCCATTTCCTCTACTATGAAATTTTTGGTGTCCCCGATCTTTGAAATACCTCTGAAATTATCTGAACTTCAATGATACTCCCTGAAACTTTTTTGAAATACATATGTCACACAGTTTACTGTCCTCTATGAAGTTCTCCAAAGTTTTTGTGAAGCTCTTCGCTATGTAAATGAAGTTTTTTGAACTTCTACAGAGTATCCTTAAACTTCTCAGAAGTTTCCAATTTTTTTGTAATTTCCCGAAGTTCTATTGAATCTTCTCAATCTCTATGAAGTTCTCGGAACATTTACGACAAACATCATTAAATATATTCATATAAATTTAAAACAGAGTTCCATTCGTGTTTCAAATGTGCTCAGTAATAAAACCAAATAGTCGAGCAGTTGAAAATTTGGTGCAAAATAGTGCTCGAATCAATGGATAGATCACTCCGCACATTAATCTTTGGCCATCTTTTTTGTCAGTGTGCCACAAGTGTGACGCAGGTGTGCCGATTGTGCCGGTCATAGAGCACGCTGATTGTTTGTAAAATGCCGATCACGGCTGTAGTAGATAGTGTGGAATAGAAATAAGTAGAATCTAGTGAGCGTGAAGCGTGATAGACCGTATTTAACGGAATCTGATTGGTTCAGGAATTTTAATACAGCTAGAGGTATAAATATGAGGTACCTAAACTCGTTGATCGTCAAGCAGTTCAGTTCGGTGTTAGCTTGCTCTCTCGAGTTGTTTGAAAAGTTCGTGGCGATAGTGTTCGCGCTCTCTTTCGCGGTTTGTCGTGCGTGTGTGTGTGCCCCGTAATGGGGAAGCATCGGTCGCGAAGCCCGGCGAAGGTCCAGAACCCCGGAGAAGGAAGCTCCGGTGTGCCTACCTCGAACAGGTTTGCTGTTCTCCCCATGGATGGGAATATCCAGCCAGCTGTGTTGGAAAAACGCAGTAAGAAGAGGAAGAAGAACCGAGGCCAGTCCGATGTCACTGCGACGAACATCAGCGATGTTGGAGATTTCGGTGACGCTGCCGAAACCGTGAATACTGCCGAAATGAGCACGGCAAAAGTGAAGCTACCTCCATTGGTAGTGAAAAATGCCCATCTTAATGTGCTCATTGCGGATCTAGCGACGCTGGGTGTTAAAGCCGAATACAAGTTGGGCAGAGTCGGCACTAAAGTGATGCTCCGTACCAAAACGGAGTTTGACGTGGTCGTCGCCCACCTGAGGACTTCCAAGGTGGAATTCTTTACCCACGACATTCCCGGTGAGAAGCCGTTCAAGGTCGTCATCAGGGGCCTACCAAACTTCGACCCGAAGTTTATCGAATCAGAAATCAGGGACCGGTACAAGCTGGCCCCAAGTGCCGTGTATCGAATGACAAGAAGAGACGAGAATGTGAAGGCGTATCCGGATAGCCTTTTCCTGGTACACTTCCAGAAGGGAACGGTGACGCTCAACGGCACTGAAAGCCATCCGGTCCATCAATTCCATCATCGTTCGCTGGGAGCCATACCGTGGCGGCCATCGCGATGTGACTCAGTGCCAGCGGTGTCTGAACTTCGGACACGGTACCCGCAACTGCAACATTAAGCCACGCTGCGGAAATTGCGCTCAAGACCATGCCACCTCCGAATGTGCTGCGGATGAAGCTGTGGCGTCCAAATGCGCCAACTGTGGTGGTGCTCACCAAGGATCCAACAAGCAGTGCCCTAAACGCGAGGATTTCAAACGCATCCGAAATCAAG